CCAAGGCACAAAACTAGTACCCAATTCCATGGTGAACAAACTGAAGATAGTGCCATGAGGGATGTAAAATAGGAACGTGGCATAAGAATACAAAATGTAATGGGCATCCACAGCCCTGGAGAAAAGACCCATCATAGCATGATAAAAGACAATATAGGAAAACTGGAAATAACCAAGAAGTGATTGAGGTGGGACAGATCAACCACAGAACTGTAATATGTATCTAGAATGCACAACTAACAAAGGAACTCTTATATGTAGGACATATAAATGAAGGGAAGGTGCCAGACATTGGAACATGAATAAAAAATGCAATGGTCATCCCAATTAGAAGTGGAAGGAAATGAGCTTGGAACAAGACATTGTCCCACCCCAGAAAATCCCAAAAGCAAAGAAGCCACGTTTGTAGGGAAAGAGCCGAAAATGGCAACTGCCTAAACATGGAGGTAAGGAGGAGGAAGGTATTCCATGAAAATCCCCAAGAAATAGACAGAACACCTCAGAGAGGAGGTGTATGGTGGCCAATACCAGTAGGAGAGACGATAGGGGAAGCTGAAGGCTGAAAACTTGACTATGGAGAAAGGGATAGAATTAACAGATTCTGCCCCATATAGTGGGCAGAATCTATTAATATAGGCAACAGAGATTCAAAGTGCAGAGAAGCAAGAAAACAAAAGACAATCTGCCTAATGGTAAGCTAAAGCAAAATGAACCAAAGTCAAAGGAGAGCGAGGCATGCCAGCACCATCTCTCAATAGAGAAACCAAAAAAAGGGCAAGCACGAACCAAAATGTCTAGAAAAGGAGGGGAAAAAAAAGTGAAATGTGTATAAAGAGGGCTGAGGTAGGCAATTTGAGGTGGAAGGCAAGCAACAGTGGGAGAAGGTTGGGCAGAACCCATATCCAGGGGTCCTCAAAAACGAAATTAATTGTAAGAAGTATAAAACATAATCAATTACAATAATGACTTGGCCTATAACAAATCCTAATTAAAAACTTTATGCCTTTGAAAAATCATGTAGATTCAACTTCTTGACTAACAATTTTTATGTCTTCAGTCCCAATACGCTGCAGCTCATACATTGTACAAAAAGCCACCTCACCCCTCTTTTAAAAACTGTCATCTACAGCCTCAAATAGCTCAATAAAGACACACTGCCTAACCCCAAGAACTCTTAATTAAAACATAAAGTTGAGTTACACAAAATAATTCATAAACACTGGACATTTGTATGCTGAGTGGTGAAACCAGTCAGGCACCGACAGATTGCCACCAACATCACACTGTCTGTATAAGTGGTACAAATATATTGAGGAAAAACTTCTGGTTTTTGTAGCTTGAAAGTGTTTATATACTGCAGCTCAGCATACATTGGTGTCACAAGTTTACAATAATTAATATAACTGTACACCACAAACCAATCAACAAGAAACACCTTGTCCATTCAACATTATGTGACTGTTGAATTAAACCATACACTGTAGCTTAAGTTTAGACAAGATGATTGCACTAACTGTAAGTAAGAAATTTGTAAGTTACCTGCAAGTAAGGTAATAAGTGTGTAAGGATATGAAAGTAAATGTCATGCACTAATTATGTATGTGGCAACAGATGCTTGTGCCTGAATGAAGAAATAATGGTAATTTAATTCCTCACAACTTATAATCAGATATTTAAAAGTAATTTCTATTATCAAAGTTTTCCAAATCTAAAAGTTTCAGTAATTCCCATTATAGCATAGTATTTCATTTCAATATGTCCTGAACCTATCCATTTTACTCCTCTATAGCCCTGCTAACTCTTTTGCAATTGTGCACCCTTATAAACCCAACACTTCCATTCTCACCCTCAGCCAAAGTAACCTTTATCCTTACTCCATACATTTCCTATGTTTCTGCTCATAACCTACTATTTCCCCCCTCTAATAAACCATTATTCCCTAAAGCTATCTCTAACTTGCCCTCAAGTAATCAAGCTGTATAAATGTAGTGTAATGTAATTTTCTGTACCTCTTCAAATTCACAATCAAGCCCAAAATTCTCAAACATAACTCAGTCCTAGCATCCATTGCATTCTATAAATTCCACCCCACTTATCCTTGAACTACCTCTAACCATGTGAAGTTTTATTAATCTTTATCCTCTATTACCAATCTACAAGCCTAATAATTAAATATTTAACTGAAATTAAGCTATTTGAGTCTTTAACAATTTACTGATTGAATTGCAAACAAAATCTAATACTAAAATTCTCTATTAACTAACATTGAGACTATTAATTACTAGTACTGCATCTACAACATACACCACTATCTCTAGTTAGATGTAAAAAATTGCTAATTTAAATAATCTACTAATGTATTAAATCCTTAACAGCTATCAAATAATAATAGACACACTTACAATAAATAAATTATCCTTCTTACTTATCTAACACTTGTGACAATTCTGATTTCAATCTATTATTTAATAACTTTATGACAGCATTACTACCTAAGAACAGTATATTACAATTAGCAATTTATTTATTTATTTATTTACAAAACAATCATTATTCAGGGGATCTTAATTCAAAGCCAGATCTCAACACTTTACTTGTTAGTTTCTAAAATACGTTGAAAAAATCCAGAAACAAATAGCTATCTTATCACTATTTTATAACAACAATTATTAAATCTAATAATTAGCCTCATCAATAGTCATATCCTTATTTATAAATAATATGACAAGTTATAGATTATCTTTAGTTAACCTTAGTAACATTATTAATTATACACCACAATCTAAGTTAATTCATTTCATAAGCTTATATTTAAACATACATGAAGTATCATTTTCTACTGTTGTAAAATGAGAGTCAAAATGAATGGTTGAATCATTCAAGTATTACATTCAAACTAAATATTAAATCAGAAAGCAATAACACTTACTTTAGCATCTAAACATCTTTTAAGTTCTATCATGTAGGAGTACTGTTCAGGATAGATATAGTCATAAGGAAAGTAAACCAACAGTCCATCCACGTTTATCCTGCAAAGATCATATGAAATGTTTGTTATTTCATGTAAACTTGCCTTAGAGATATTTTAGTAAAGTATGCTAACAAGGTTTCTGCATAGTTTAATGTGTGCATCTACACTAAAAAAATCTTTTAAGGTAGATATATTTAAAACATCACATTCATCATCAGCACTGAGCTATACAAAATTAAATACTTTATAACCAAAAAAAATTAATAGAAACAATGAATTAAAAGCAGTTCACCTACACAGAGTTACAAAAAGATAACAAAGGTAAAGGTGATGATTTGGTATAGCTGGATTTTGGAATAGCTTACTCTGATGTATTCTCAATACTGACAAGGGAATAGTCTGCTGATGAAAGTTTTCAGTTTAATTGGCTGTGAAAAGGATACTGTTGCTTTCGAAAAAAATTTGGCAACTTAGAAAAATAAATGGTGCCTTGTCAACCTACAGCCAACTCTTTATCAATGAACAGTAGGCTTGATTATCACATTATATTCCCCCCCATAGATGAAAGGATGAACACATTTAGCAACAGTTTTCAATCCCATGACCCACAGATTACGAGTCAAATACCCAAACCACTAGTCAGTGTCAAGCCGTTAATTATTATAAGTACAAGGTAATGCATGTTGGCTACCTTAACTTAAACTATAATTACCACCTAGATATTTTGGTTGATCAATCTCTTAAACCTTCCAGGCAATGTGTCATTGCTAGTTGGAAAACAAATATGGGATTTGTGTTGTATCGATAAGAATATTGGATATAAGTTAAAGGAGGTTATTAATTCTTTGTACAAATCCCTGGTTAGGTCTCAAATGGAGTATTGTGTTCAGTCTTGGGCTCCTTACCTTAAAGACATTAAGTTGTTGGAAAGAGTTCAAAGGAAGGCCTAGGATGATTCCTGAGATGGAGAGACTGTCATAAGAGGACAGATTAAGGTTCTTAAAATTTTCTCTCAAGAAAAGAAGGCTTATAGGGATTTGACTGGAGAGTTCAAAATTATACAGGATTGATGTATCATTTTTGTTTTGTTTTATTTAATGGTGAGAGTAGTAGGTCTAGGGGAGATAGATTTAAGATTTGGCAAGGTGGAAGTTGTCCACAAATTATGCTACTTTATTTTTTGAACGAGGTAATCAGCCTATAAAATAGTTTGCCTTCAGATATGGTAGTTACAACAAGGTTGAAAGAGTTCAAGAGAATATTTAAATCAGGGCTGAATATAAGCAGGTGGGTGTTTGATGAAAAGAATGAGGTAACTACTATGGATCAAGAGACCCTTTGTTGTCCCTTTAATGTTATGTTAAAACTGCAAAAAATATAATTATTTATAAAAGTTACAGGAATTAAAGTTAAAATTTATGTAAGACATTAAACTGTACTTCTTACAGTACTTACATGTCTACTGAACAACTTAATATGTTCAATTAAATTTATATCTAAACAAAAATATTATTTTCAGTGGAACAAAGTTTTTATTTCTATATTAATAAAGACATGATTAACAGTTAGTTCATATATATATATATATATTTATTTATACTTCAAAAATTTTTTTTATTTGTAAAAAGTTAGTTTCTTTCTAATTAGAAAAAAAAAGATTTTAAGCCAAGACTGTGTACTTACTTCATTATCAAAACCTGTATGAAGAAGTTGCTTTTAGACCACGTATTTTAAGTAATATCTGGATATTTCTTAACAATTCCATACACTTCTTCAATGTTTTGTTTTGGAACACACTGGAATATACATTGAAACAATTTTATAGCAACTGGAATATGTACAAACATTTTTCTAGACCTACAGTTAGTGCTATTGTTATTCTATAAATAATTACACATTTTCTTAAAAGCAAATGTTAAGTGTGCAAAAATTTAGTTACTCATATGATGGTTCATAAACAAAACACTTTATAAAACCCATATTTAAGAAAGTTGCAACTGTTTTACCAACTGAATTCTCAATAAAGGACCAAAAAATTAACATTACTACTGCTACTATATTATAACTATATATATAAAACATACATACAAACAAATCTTAATTCCAGCTTTTTATACATTCAAAATATGATCTTTACATAGCTATTCTTTTATAAAAATATATACTTTTATATATAATTTCCCTGAAAGGGAACCGAAGGTTGCCTGAAGGGGTCACCTATTTTAACAACTCGCACTACTATACAGTCATTAGACACTAAATTGACATCACATAAGGGGCACTTAACATTGCAATTTGTACTGTCATGATGTCACTAAAACATGAGCATGCCATGAATCACAAGAAGAATTATGCACTCTGTAGATTATAACACAGCATAACAAATGAACTTCAAAAGCAAGAAATAAAGAAATTCATTACTTTTAATTTTGGTTTTATTTACTCTTCAAATACAACACTTTCAGGGAACCTGCAGAAGTACATCCAGTATTAATATTGATTAAGACATTTGAAAGTACTTCTGACCAGTCACTTACAATTTAGAATTGATTAGTACTTTATATACAAAAAGTGGTAAATGTATGTAATGTTATATAACCAGAATAACTGCTACAATAATATTTTGACAGTTGTGCATCAAAATAATTAGAATGACATGGTTTTGGATTTTGAGGTTAGTATGATCATCATATCTGCTACTTTATACTACAATTGCCAATTTATTTTACATATATATTAACAAAATAAACTTAAAACAATTCATAACCATAAACACATTATATATCTGCTGTAACACAAAAGCCAACACAGATCAAAGGGCTGTAATAACCTAATTCTCATTAACCTTTGAAGTTTTCTTTAATTAGTAGTAGTTACACTTAATTTGGTATACATATATGGATACAAAAAGTCTTAACACAGTGAAAAACCAAGCTACTTAAATCTTAAATTTGAAACCTTTGATAATATAAACAACTGACATGTTACTTTTCAAACAAAAGAATATGTAGTTAAAAATTCTTGTTCTCTCAAAACCTTATTATTTTTTGAGACAGAAAAAAAAAGACAAAGCCATATACACTTACACTCTATACTACACAGTTTAAATGTAAAAAACATTCTCATATAAACTATAGCAGATTAATATTAGAATAACAGGAAAATTTCCTCAATTGAACAAAGGTCAACTAAAATATAGAAAACTATCAAAAACAATAAAAGCCCACACATATATATTAATCTTAAATATGTGTAACTTATAATTCCATAATTCCAATAAACTCATCTTATTACAAAAGGTAGTTTCAATAACCCTATTATTATTATTAATATATTACTTATTACTATTAGTCAAAGCCAGTTTAAAAGAAAAACTTATTTAAAGTTCATTGGTAATTAGACAATTCAAATTGATCTAAGGAATGCAAAATTAAATGCATAATATACAGACAAGTATATATAACTTGCAAGATCGTCATTTTCAGTTTTATGACACTTGCAGTATCAGAATCATATTCTCCCACATCTTTGGTATGTATATTTCTTACATGATAATTCACTTCAAAATAATTCCTTAATTTTACATGTAGAATTCACATACAAATTTATAAATAATAATACTCGAAATAATTCAAATAAGCAAAAATAAAGAAGAACTGTGAAGATTCAAAAGTTAAAACTTAGTTCGTACAAGTTGGTTACAACTCACTACAACTACAAAATCAGGCCTACTTCATTAGAAGTTCATATCACCAGGCAATTAGCGGGTTGAATTTGGGATTTTGAACAACTAGCTTCGCCTTTGCATTAAAAAAATGCTGAGCGCCATTGGCATTAAGGCATTGGTATTTCAGAATTGAAAACCATAACATCGGGGCAGATAATAATATTATCAGTATACATATAATGATATATATATATATATAATATTAATAATAATATATGTAATTAATATATGCTCGACGATTACTCGTACTACTACTACTGTACTGGTTACGTTCTATTTCTAACAAGTAATATATATGTAAAACAATTTTTCTTGATCAAAGTTGCATAGTTCATCAACAACTTTTTTTATTCACTTACCATAAAATATTAATAACGCATATATTCAATAAAATTAAGAGTCAACTTGCTTGACAAACATTGAAACAACAAAGAAATCAACCATTATTATCCTAGCGAATCGCGATGTTCTCTCCCTCTATTTTGACATTATTGAGTCGCAAGGGTTAGAATATTTTATATTTAATTCATTATTTTTTTTTATTTAAGTTCTTTTACTTTTTATTCATGCTACTTTAAAAAGTGTAATTTTGAACAATTAGTTAGACCTAAAACGAGAGTTATTTGCAAATACAAGTAATGAATAAAAATATTTTTTGAACAGTTGATAGATCAATTGTGTAGGAAGGAGTTGCAAAGTGGGTGTGCTTGGCTAGACATGCAAATTTTACAAAGAGAGATTGAAAGTATAAGTAGCTGCTTAAGGTAGTTCAATATTAAGGGTCTGGGAGCATCCCCCCCCAAAAAAAATTAAAATAATAATGTAATTTGCAGTTGCTATATAAGTCAAATATTAAACGTGAGGGTGATATAGCACCCCTGGTTCCGACGGCTCTATAGGTATAAAGAACGATAAGGCTCCTGGGCCAGATAATATTTACTCAGGGGTTTTGAAGGAGGTTAAGGATTGGATTAGATATGTGAACCACTTACTATTATTTTTTTTGTAAGTCATTGAAAAATAGGCAGTTGCCAAAAGATTGGAAGTTGGCGGATGTTACTCCTCTTTTTGAGGGAGGTGTTAAAAAATGTTCCAGTAATTATTGTCCTAGTAGTCTTACATCATTTGTGGAAAAAGTTTTGGAAAATACGATAAAAGATGCTTTGCAAAGTCTTTTAACAAAGTTGAGAATTTTGTTGGATAGTCAACATGGTTTCACTAAGGGAAAATCTTGCCTTACAAATCTTTTTATATTCTTTGAAGAGGTTACTGCTTCTGTACATGACGGTATGGGTGTAGATTTGGTGTATATGAATTTTCAGAAAGCATATGACAAGGTGCGACATAAAAGACTTCTAAAAACATTGTTCGATATGTGTGGGGAATAAGTTGGCTAATTAGAGAGAAAAGTGGCTGGATTGAAGAAAGTAGAGGGTTGTTATAAATGGAGTTCATTCAAACTGGAATAATGTAAAAAGTGGGGTAACTCAGGGCTTGATCTTAATACGTTTGTTCTTGTTGGTTTACATCAATGTCATAGATGAAGGAATGGTCAATAAATTACTCAAATTTACTAATGGTATTAAGATATTGAGTGTTGTTGGGTGTGAGGAGGATGCTGCTGTTGTACAAATGTTTTTAGATCATTCAGTGAGTTTGGCAAATAAATGGCAAATGGGTTTTAATTATAATAAATGCGAGATAATGCATGTGAGTTATCATAATCTGAATTATAAGTATAATTTGGATGGGAATAACCTTAACAGTAATACGAAGGAAAGTGATTTTCGTATAGGGGTTGATCAGTCTCTTAAGCCATTCAAGCAGTGTGTTGTTGCTGGGATTTTAGGTTGTATCTACAGAAACATTGAATACAAATCTAAAGAGGTTATAATTTTAGGTCACGTTTGGAGTATTAAGCTCCTTACCTTAGGAAGAATATTAAATTGTTGGAAAGTGTTCAGAGGATGGTTATTAGAATGGTGTCTGGGATGGATGGATTGTCATATGAGGAGAGATTAAGATCTCTGAAATTATTTTCCCTTGAAAAAAATGAGTTAGAGGGGATCTGATTGAGGTGTTTAAGATTGTAAAGGGAATTGATAGTGTTGATGCATCTTTTTTCATAATTAACGGCGAGAATAGTAGGACTAGGAGACAACAAATATATATTTTGACAGGGTAGGAGTTATCTTCAGCTCAGAAAGTTTTATTTTTATAACAGGATGGTTGGCCTTCGGAATGGGTTGCCTTCGGACGTTCTGGAGACAATAAATTTAAGTGAGTTTAAGAGAAAGCTTGATAACTATCTAAATCATAAGGGTTGGCTTTGAGTTTTTTTTAAATAGTTATAGTTGAGTTTAGAGCATGGGCTAGCTTAGATTGTCCAATAGGTTCCTTGTATTCCCTAAACATTATGTTATGTTATATTGATTTCATAATCAGACTAGACTTTCCTGTTCAAATTATGGTTTGTGGACATGATACATTGACACTTACTTCGTCAACTAGTACGGATTTGTGTCCACCTCCCAATGTTTGGCTCAACGCTGCAAGCGAAACTGGTATTGGCATTAGCTCATGTTTTACTTTCGTCAGCATTTGTTTTCTTTCTTTAGACTTCGTAGAGTATAGAGAAGGTAAGAGGATTATTCTTCCGGATTGGGTCATGAAATCTTACCTCAAAATCTGGAGGTATGAGACGCTCTTCTATAATAGTGTTTAGTTGAGCCTGACCAAGTGAACGAGCGTTGAGTAGAGTTTTGAATGTCACCTGTTTCAAGGTCTTGGGTATCTATGTTTTGTAATGACGTGTTTTGATCATAAGAAAAAGACTCTGAACTGCGTCAGTATCGCCGACAGGGAATTTTCGTGTATGTTGTTTTGTTTGTTTCTTATTTTAGATGTTTCTTTGTGAACAATGTCACCCATATGTATATGATACATTGCTGCGGTTTGAGCCGTGATATTGCCACGCAATTTATATCATAAAGCCCGCCTATTTAATGCTGAAGCTGTATTGGTACTGCCGACCATACCACCACCACACTTTTCTGTTGAATTCAACCATTTTTGTAATATAAATACATGGACTTACCCTTAGCAATTTACAATTACATAATAACAATTTATTTTTATTTTAAACAAAAACTTCAACATAACTCAAACTACTAACAATACTCCGTGGTTTTAATAAAACTGAAACACTGTGTTAATATTAGATAACACTAGAAAATAATGGTAGATGGGAGAACATTTCCCTAAATAGAGATATAGTTATCTTTTGATACTATACCGACTGTAAATTTGTGTTTTTTAGATACTTTTGGTTAAAATACATGCAATTTATTTAGCTGTTGTACTATTTCTGCTACACGATTACCATCTACTGCATAGTTAAAAGAACAAAATACATAAGGAAGTATCAAGAGAAATTATGGACTTTACTACTGGTCTTGCAAAACTGGCGAAACTTGGAATTGGATTCGAGCATTAAAACCAAAACCCACATAAAAACTGATCACAAGATAAACATGTGAACACAACACAATGTTACCAGTATGTCATAGGTTTGTTTTAATTTAAGCACAAAGCTATACAATTGGCTATCTCTGCTCTGCCAACCACGGGTATCGAAACCCGGTTTCTAGCGTTGTAAGTCCGCAGACATACCGCTGTGCCACTGGAGGGCAGATCATAGGAAAACTACAGTATGCCTATTCTATAAAATGATTGCACTGAAAAAATATTAAAATGTGTGAAGCATAATGTTAAACTTTACATTTGTAGTAGTCTTTATTAATGATCTTGAGAAGTCTTTATTCCACGCATGCGTGTGTTTACAGTACACATATACTCAAAGATATTGAATGTTACTCAGTGTATTATCTGTAAAATTATATGTGAAGCGAAAAGTTTGGAAAATGTCGAATCTCAAAACAACAAAGACATTTTGATTTATTCTTTGTGCATGGTTAAGGTTTAAACAAGAAAATTTAAACTATAATTTCGAGCAGCTAAACGTCTAAGTACCATACATAGTCCTCTGAATAGATAGAAAATAAAGAAATTAAGTAATTCGAAGGTTAGCCACCAGGTAGAGGTTTAGTTTGTTTGGAATTTCGCGCAAAGCTACACGACAGCTATCTACGCTAGTTGTCAGCTCTTGAGATACTCTTTTAACAACAAATAGTGAGAATGTCCGTGACATTATAACGCCCTCACAACTGAAATGGCGAGCATGTTTAGTGGGACGTTGGATTCAAACCCGCGATTTCCAGATTGCGAGTCGATCGCCCTAACCACCTGGCCATGCCAGGGCTCCATCATGGAGAGAAATAAAAGAACATAAAGATGTTTTGAACTTGGTCAAAGTTTGTGTGTAAAAAGCAGAAGAAGAAAGACAATAGGCAATGTTGAATCGCTAAAGATATTCTAATGAGTATATTTAGGGGCACATATGTTAGATATTGTTATCCTTCGAAATTATAAAATTGGCATTATAGGAAACTGGTGAACGATTCAAGGTCGTTAACATCTGAAGGATACGAATCTCATGTTGTTGTTGTTGTTTCGATTTTTCAATCTAAACATATATGTAAACGCTACTTTTGGATGAATCATGGAATTTGTTTCTTCATCTTGATGTCTGATTTTCCGAAGTAATTCTAACAAGCTGCAACATACGATATTCTTAATGTATCGTTTGTTTAGTTAGTTTGAATATTCGCGCTAGCCATCCCGAATTTTAAACTAACAAACTAAAGGAGGGTAGTAAACAACACCCATCACCAAATATTGAGTTATTCTAATAGTTGGATAGTTGGTGTTGACGGTCGCTCTTATAACGCACCCATGATCCAAAAGGGCAAAAATTGACTATGTGACAACCAATTCACCTTGAATTCACGATCCATCACGCTAACCACGACATGCTGTAGTTATACTTTTTAAATACACAAAATGTTAGGAGCTCGTGGAATGTCTACGATGTTGTTGGTCCATAGAATGATTAATGTAATAGTAATTTGAAGAACCGCTTGTCCACAATTACTTAACAGAAAGTATGTGACCATGAACGAAGTGATAGTGTTGAAAACATTTGTGCAAATGTTTTATTTGAAATGTATACATTTATATCTTTATAAAAACTGTGGATATGTGAATATCATAAATCATCTTTGTTTTACTCTAGTGGGGAGTAATTAATGTATATGTTCGTTGACGTACATATTTATGACTGATTTTGAAGAAAACAAACGCCTTTCTAATAAATAACAATACATTAGTAGTATTAATTATGTTAGAAAGTAGTTAGGTGGAATTGTTTTTACTGTTTAAATATATTTAGTTGAAATTTAATGATGTTATAAATAATTGGTAGAACCATTTAATCTTATTAAACTGCACAGTAAAGGTTTACAGACTGGCTGTTGCAAGTAATAATTGGTTTATTGATATATAAAG